AAAAGCGTGGCGTGTGGTGCGGAGGAGGTAGCGGCGCGGCCCCATCATGCACCTGGCCTGAGGGTTGTTCCCGGCAAGCACTGGGGTAGTGGGCCGTGGTTCCCGGCATGCGTCCCGAGCAGTGGCCACTGCCTCCAGCTCTAAATAGTTTGGGGTTGGCCCGGTTCCCAGACAGCATTGGGGCACTGGGCTTTATGCCCCCGACATTCAGTGCATTTGGTGGGTACTGGGTTCCTGGCCTGCAGTTTGTCGGGGAACATGTACTTCCAACCTGCATTGGGGTACAGGATCTATCGTCCTGAGAGGAATAGTGCATTGTCCGCTTGCCCTGGCGCAGTGCACCCTGCTTTTCCAGCCTGCACCTCTATTCTACATTGAACCCAGGCAATGGGTGCTGTACTGCCTGAGGTTCCCTGGACCTTGTGTCCCACATAGTGTGCCTGGATATGGCAGTGCTTGGCCAGGTGGGTGCAGAGGGGAGGTGTGATAAGGGTTTGTGCCCCTTCCCGCAGTATAGAACAAATGCTGGCAGCCAACCCGGGCAAGACCCCGATCAGCCTTCTGCAGGAGTATGGGACCAGAATAGGGAAGACGCCCGTGTACGATCTTCTCAAAGCCGAGGGCCAAGCCCACCAGCCTAATTTCACCTTCCGGGTCACTGTTGGCGACACCAGCTGCACTGGTGAGGAAGGCTTGGGCAATCTGGGGTGTGCATTCACAGTTCTCTTCTCCGAAGTCGGTGAGAGGAGAGCTTTCATGGGAAAAGCCACTGACTGGATTGGGAGAACAAATCTGTGAAGAGGTGGGTAGGACTTAGAGGAGAGTTGAGGCGGTAAGCAGGACTGCCACAGTGATCTGGCAGACTGTCATCACCCTAGATGAAAAAGTAAAAGGAGATAAACTGAAATCTCAGTGAAGTAGGTGGCTCATGAGTGCCTGCTATGCTGGGCTCTATGCCAGGTGCTTAACCAAATTCCTAGTTCATCTTAAATCTCAGTCTAATCTAGTGATGTAGGTGGTAGTATCCTCATGTTGAATATGAGGAAACTGAGGCTCAGATGCCTTGTAGGTGGCAGAACCAGGCTTTGATTCTAGAGAGCCTACCCTCTTTCTGTTTTTCCAGCCATCTCTATTTATTGAGATGGGAGAAAGTGCTTCCCAGAGGAGAGTAAGGCAGAGAAAAAATCTCTACCAGAGGCATCTGAGCTCAGGAGCAGTCCTGCCTGGCATGGCTTGATTTGGGGAGCTTATGGAAATATGAGGGCTCTTCCTTCCAGCAGTTAGTGTAGCATGCCCAATCTTAGGCAGGGGAAGGTTGGCGATGGGCTTGGTTGACTCCCTTGGGCTGTGAGGAGAGAGGCTGGTCTCTTTTTGTCCTCACAGTGACTCCAGTGTTGCCCACGCCCCTCTCTCAGGTCAGGGTCCCAGCAAGAAGGCAGCCAAGCACAAGGCAGCTGAGGTGGCCCTCAAACACCTCAAAGGGGGAAGCATGCTGGAGCCGGCCCTGGAGGACAGCAGGTGAGGGAGGAACAGCTTCCTAGAGGCCCTGCCAGGAACCCAGACCCCTGCACCATCCCCTCTGCCCAGTAGGCCTTGGCCTGGTGAAACTTAGCCACCTTGACCTGGCCTCTTCTTGAGAGCTTCTTCTGGACCCATACAGGATGCTTTCAGGGCTCCTGCTGCTGTGAGGGATTCTGGGGGGAATGGCCCTTTGAGGGGTCATGGCTATGGCATGGCTCCAGACTAGGGAGAGGAGTGGAGGTTGAGCCTGGAGGAAGTTGTTCCCCAACATTCCTCCTCTCTCTAGCAAGATGTCCTTCCCTCTTCCACACTCAGGTCAGAGTTTGTTGTTCCCATGGTTCTTGGGTGGGAAGAGACCCTCCTTCCCATTTTCTCAGTCTTTCCGACTGTGTTTGTCAGTAAAGGATCCCAGGAGGAGGAGCTGATGGTTGAACTTCCCTGAGTTGTTGGCTCCAGTGGGAAGGAATTTTCTTAGGGGGTGGGCAGATCAGGACCTGAATCCCCCACTCTCTTCTCCTCTCCACCCCAATATGGGTGTGAATCAAAGGCCCTCTTCCCCTCGGGAAGTTCTTTTTCTCCCTTAGACACGTCACTGCCTGAGGACGTTCCGGGTTTCACTGTGGCAGCACCTGCTACTCCTGTTCCACCTGCTGTTCCAACCAGGTATCTTGTGTCTCCTGATGGCCTGAGGGAGTGAGGAAGGGGTTCTGGCTTCTGGTCCCCCAGCCCTTGGACTCTGGCTGGTCAGGCAGGAGGCAGTCTGAGTAAACAGAGGATTGAATAGTTGGGGGCCAGAATTCGAAGAATTTGCATCAGCTGGCAAGCTGTTGGGGCAGGAGGTTATTTACAGTTTTAAATAGCCAGCCATGTGGATGATGTTGACCATGTTTAAGGGTCTTACAGGCTCCATTTTCTTCTGAGTTGGTCATAGCATGGTCCTGTGTGTGAACCAGGGACTGGATATGTAGCCCCTCTCCCGCTTTCCTGGTGAGATGATGATCAAGTGTTCCAGAAAACTGAAATGGGCCTGGGACCTGGAGGAGACCACTTGAGTGGGGGCCAGGAAAGGAAGCAGGCTGGACATATAGATGGCTGCTTGCCTGGTGGGGAGTAGGGATACGGTAGCAGGGGAAAGCAGAGCAGAGCCTGCGACTCGTGGGGAGCCACAGAAGGAAGCAGCCCCATCAGCCTTGGCTCTGGGCCTTTCCTTCAGGAGCTCCCCCATGGAGGTGCAGCCCTCCGTCTCCCCTCAGCAGTCCGAGTGCAACCCCGTTGGCGCTCTGCAGGTGTGCTCCCTACCTCATTCCTCATGCATGCCTGTCTTTCTTTGAACCCGGGACCGCAAGGGGAGGCAATTACTCTGTTCTGAGGGCTCCCCTGCCTTTATTCCTTCTCGAACCTGGAATTTGAGGCTCCTAGGGTAGGAGAGGATGTGAGGAGTCTTTTTGCACTCAGCCTTGTGCACCCTGGTTTCTCCCTTCCAAGGAGCTGGTGGTGCAGAAAGGCTGGAGGTTGCCTGAGTACACAGTCACCCAGGAGTCTGGGCCAGCTCACCGCAAAGAGTTTACCATGACCTGCCGAGTGGAACGTTTCGTTGAGATTGGTAACTGGATGCGAGGGAGTTGCTGCAGCTGCTGTCCCCAGCATTCCAGCCCTGGTCACAGGCAGCCCCTAGCCTCTCTGCCTCAGCCCCTGCTCTCCTGCCGAGATCCCCCCAGCTCAACTCCTAGCTTCTTCCTTGCACCCCATCCTACCCACTGTCTTCTGGCTGACCAGGTTCTTGGGTGCAGGGCAGGTCCTGAGCTTTCCTTTGCAATTGACATCCCCTGAGGAGACCTTAACCCATGTTGGAGCTGGGTGGAAAACACTGGGTCTATTGGGAATCAATTCTCTTCCCACATGCAGGCAGTGGTACTTCCAAAAAGCTGGCAAAGCGTAACGCAGCAGCCAAAATGCTGCTCCGAGTGCACACGGTGCCTCTGGATGCCCGGGATGGGAATGAGGCAGAGCCTGATGATGATCACTTCTCCATTGTGAGTGGCTCATGTGGGCCAGGCACTGTGGTCCACCTTCCATGGCAGGGCAAGCCACTGGGAACTTAGATCTGTCTTAGGAGTGAGCCTCTCTAGGTCCCAGGCCAGCTTGTGCCCATTTATCTGGCAGGCTCAGAGTTCCTTGGGCCCCTCTGCCTGGTGAGTGCCGTGGGGGAGCTGGCCCAGGGCAGGGGGCCTGAAGCTTCTGGTACTGGAATGAGGAAGGCTGCCTGGCCACCCATCCAGGGTCTAATAGTTAGAGGGGGGCCATAGAGATGGGCTGGGGGGGGAGGCAAGCTGGAGGAAGCATTCTCTGGGCTTCTCTCTCCTTGGACACTGAATGTCTGGGAAGTGCCTAGGTCTCACAGCCCCTAGCTGCATTTTTCCTGCTGTCCCCATCTTGTCAGGGTGTGGGCTCCCGCCTTGATGGACTTCGGAACCGGGGCCCAGGCTGCACCTGGGATTCTCTGCGAAATTCAGTGGGAGAGAAGATGCTGTCTCTCCGCAGCTGCTCTCTGGGCTTCTTAGGTGCTCTGGGCCCTGCCTGCTGCGGTGTCCTCAGTGAGCTCTCCGAGGAGCAGGCCTTCCATGTCAGCTACCTGGATATTGGTATGGCTATTTGGGGAGCCGGGGGATAGTGGGGACTGGACCAGAGCAAGTATGGATGTGTATAAGGGGGTTGGGGAGGGTGTGACGATGATGTGGACGCACCCCACTTGCCACTGCTTTCTCCCCAACACTGCCTTCTCCCTCTCTTGGTCTCCAGAAGAGCTGAGCCTGAGTGGGCTCTGCCAGTGCCTGGTGGAGCTGTCTACACAGCCAGCCACTGTGTGTCATGGGTCTGCAGCCACCAGGGAGGCAGCCCGAGGAGAGGCTGCTCGCCGTGCCCTACAGTACCTGAAGATTATGGCAGGCAGCAAGTAAGGCACCAGCTGGACTCAAGGATGTGCACCCTTCCTCCCTGTTCTTTTGGCCCCTGGCCTATGTGTCTGCTCAGCTCTGGTAGCCCCTGGAAGTGCCATCTCTACCTCTGACACAGACTGCCTGCCTGCAGGCTGAGGAGAGAACAGGGTCAGGAGCCAGGGACTGCAGGGCCTTGGCTGGCACCAGGCCCACTGGTGACGAGTGGGAATGAAATCGGGGGGCTCTCCTCTGGAGCCCAGAATAAATGTTCTACTCTTTGGATTCTTAAAGCCTGCTCTTTCTGTTTCCCTGAATCGTGCTGAAGGCAGAGGAGGCTAGCACCAGACTGCCTTCCCTTTGGTACCTCCCCCCCTTGTTCCCTGCGTATCTGTATTTGCCTTTCTGGGGGCAGGAGGCAGTGGCCTCCAGGAACCCTGTCATCTGCGTCGTTCCTGGCGAGTCTGGTTTGGTGGACATGGAGGGGTTGTGGTCTCACTCTGGGGTTCCCTCCCAGCCCTTTCAAATCTCCTACAGACCCAGACATGGATTCAGAAGCCAGACTACTTTATTTAGGGGGTACACATGGATGGCATTTTTAGGTGTGGGCCTCACATGCAAACATCAAAGGATGACATATCACTTCTTCCCAAAGCGTTGAGAGGCAGCCAGGCTCCAGAAGGGCGAGCTCAGCCCCTCCGCAGCTCGGGGACTCAGCCGGTCATTACTCCAGGAGCTGCGGGTGTTTCTGCCAAACCTTAGGAGAGATCCACCTTCAGCTGTAGGTCCTTCCAGTCCTTTCTTCTCTAGCCCCTCCTTCTCCCCTCTCTCTGGCCCTTGTCCCACTCAGACTCACCTCTGGGGCTGAAAAAGGAAGGCTGAGCCCCGGCTGGGTCTCTGTATGGTCTGGAGCAGGAAGCACAAGAGCGACCCAGGGGTCTGGGCATCCGGTGGTGGGCAGGGTTTGTTGTCCTCCTGTGGTAGTGGAGTATCCGGGAAGGTAGATGGGCAAAGGCCTTGGACATTTAGGTTACCAGAAGAAGAAAGGAATGACTTCTAGGGGCAAGTTAAAGGAGGTTACAGAGCCGTTTACTTAGATGTGAGGACTTGGTGAAGAGCCTGGCAGCCAGAAGAGAGTAAACCTAGAGGACAAGTCTCAAGCTGAGGTGGAAGAACATGGTGACCTGGGGCTGGGGTACTAACTTACCTCTGAGATCTGATCTCCATCCTGGCGCCCTGGTCCTTCAGCATGGCCCCCCTCTATTATTAACAGCAGCACCACCAGCAGCCCTGCTGCCTGCCTGGAGTCCATGCTGCCATCTGCTGTCCTACAGCCATACCCGCCTCTTATACCTGCTGTCCTCCCCCCTCCACCCGCCGTCCACCCTCTCACAGCAGCCTGGGGGAATCTAGAGCCGGCAATGGAAATGTATGGCTCCATTAAGAGCCACCTGAGATCCTCCCATGGTTCCCCCAGGACTTCCTGCTCTCAGCCTCCAGCCCCTAGTCCCTAAGCCTGGTGTTAATAGACTTTTATTAGATGAATAAATCCTGTCTTCAGAGCTCAAGCAGCACCATTAATTACACATGCTTTGTCAGTGCCAGGCCCTGAGGGGCCTTCACGAACCCCCAATCCCTCAACAGGTTGGAGAGCTCTAATTGATCACCTCCTCTTTTTCTGAACTCGTAGAATAAAAGCATAGAGAAAGTTCCGCCAGAAAGGGCTGGGGTCACAGTTGGCCAGGATGATCCACACTGGGGCTTTTCAGGATCACCTAGCCCATTCATACATTCATACCCCTGCATTCTTACCTTTTGGCAAGTGACTACTCTTGAGATTTGCTTGTGGACAGAAGTGTGAGATACAGAGAAGACAGAAAGGTTTAAGAGCTTTCAGTTAAGAGCTTAAACCCATTCTCTTCAGAGCGCATAACTTAAGACCTGCCTCAACCTGGCCTGCAGAGACACCCTCCTCAGCTGGAGCATTGCTGCCACCCTGTGGTCATAGCTCTGCACTGTCAGGTCTGGCCATTTCTTTTCTGGACTAGTGCTCTTTGAAAGGCAGGGTGGATGGAGGTTCCTAAGGCCTCGACTCCTTTAAGGAGCTCCCAAAAGAAAGGCAGGGGCAGGATTCTGGGGTTGAACTACCATTCTGCCCACCTCTAGTCACTGCAGCTTCTGCCTGGCTCTGGCTGTGACCTATTGAGGCAGGCAACTAGAATCCTGTCCTAGGAAAAATCAGAGTCACTGTCTCTCAGGGAGGGGTCTTCACAGTCATCTGGTGTCATATCCCTTCTGATCCGAGAATCCCTTCCTCAGTGTTCCCACCAGTGTGGTTCTCTAGTATGCTGGAGAAGTGCCATGACATGGAGTCTGTGAATCAGCCTTGGGCAAGCTGTCTACTTCTCTAAACTGCAGTTTCTTCACCTAACACATGGCAACATTAAAAGAAACTACTTCCTTGGGTGTGTATTTGAGGTAACTTTTTTGTAATCCATTGAGCACAGGATCTGGCACAGAGCAAGTGTCCTCAAAACATTAGCTGTGATGATTCTTGCATACCCAAGTCCCAGGGAACTTACCATCTTGTGAAGACAGTCATTGGAAGATTTTTCCTGGCACCGAGCAGGCATCCGTCTCCTGTGGCATCCACCAGGGTCTTAGCTTGCCCCATTAAGTCTCACAGAGCATCTCTTGTGTTTCGTTCGTACAAGTCTTTTGCAGGTCTGAAGATAAATTTCATTCTTCCACACTACAGTCTTTTTCTGTTCAGTGGGAAAGAAGTGCACCTTTAAAGCAAGGCATCTAGAAACCAATTTATACTCTGGATAGGAGATTAGCATAGGTTTTGATCTGGATGGTCTAGATACTGTGTTTCTATTCATGCAACCTAGGCTGCGGTGAGCCTTTATGTAAGCTGTCTCACAGTTGGTCCCAAGCACAGAACCCGACATTCATCATCACTACATCTTGTAGTTTCACTGCTTTTTAAAAGGGAGTATTAAATCCATGGGTAGACAGTTCTGTGGAAAGTGGGTCCTCCACCACAACGAGGTTCTTACCTGACAGAAGTCCAGAGGAGCAGCGTTGAGAGGGCGGGCGGGGCACTGCAGAGCCTCTGCGCTCAGCCAGAACTCGTCTTAATACCACCAGCTCTTGCATGTCACTGTGTGCCTTGGGCAAGGGTTTTAACTGAAACCTCAGTTCATCATCAATAAAGTGACGAACTACTCCTGTTACCAGGAGGTGGTTGTGAGCAATAAATCGCCTAATGAATGCAAAGCATCTAGTATTCATCTAACAGAGCAGGTACTCATGCTTACCACCCTTGCTGCTTCTCCTGCTAATAGTTCCCTGATAACCAATTACAAGTGGCTCTTAGCTGAGTCTACATTCAGAAAGGGGCTGGTTTCGCTGGCTTCCTATGCCCAGGATGGAGATGAATAGACTCCTTGATAAGCTGGAATGGGTTAATTCTTCTGACTTGGGAAACTGCCCTACCTGCAGAGTCTCGCCCCCCACCTCCCAGAGCTCTTAGTCTTGGCTTTGGTATTGGGCTTCCAGCAACTTCCTTCCTCACCCTTCTCTGGATCCCCATGTGCTTCTGACAACACAATGAAGACAACCACTGCCTTTCCCATTCTCCTAAGGAGATTCAGGCTCCCTGTCTGTGTCAATTATACCAAACATCCTCTACCAACAGCTTCTAAATCACTTCTCTCCTACTGGGAAACCCCCCTGAGGCACCTGCTACCTCCTGGTCCACTTCTTCAGCCTGGCTTCCCCTCCTTGCTTCTGGTAATTATTGAGGAATACATAGATGCAAGAAATTAGTGGTGCTCACCCTACACCTCCCCAGAGTTCCCAAGCATTACTTATTTTTCTGAACTCTTACCTGCTTCTAAACAAACTCCACTCCTATTTTGAGACCAGCCTCCTCCCCACACCAATGGAACTTGCAGAATCATAGAAGCTTCACTTTGTGTCTATGTGTGCGCTCTCCAGTCATGCTGGTAACCTGAGAGTAGGGCTTGTTTTTGTTTTTGTGTGTTACTGTTGGGCAGAGGGTGGTGACTAAACACCTGCAGGGTAAGAGGCCACGTGCCTTCAGACACCTCATCCCCATCTGTCCACATGAAGCATGCAGTCCCCTAGTGAGTGCTCCCCTGTTGCCCAGGGCCCTTGTCCCCCCAGCAGTGCACAACTCTGAGCTCTGGTCTCCATACCTTCTATTGTATTTTTTTAATGTAAACCGCCCATCTTACCTAGGCTGTGTGTTCCCTGCCTAAAAAGGAGGGCTAAAAATCCCTGCTCTTTCTATCCTAAGAAATGGGAGAGTGAGGAAGATGACTGACATGAGAGCCCAGTGAGTCTCCAGGAAGAGTGGACAATGGGACTTGAAAATCAAAGCACTGATGTATCAGACAGAACAGTGGTTCTCTCGATAGTTTAATGTTACAGTTGCAGCATAAATAAGGCACAATATATGTCAGGGCAAGGGGAGAGGGAGAAGGCATGGCTGGGGGGTAAATGCTAAGTGGCATGGGGGAAGGAAGAGGGACGGTTCGGGAGAATAGAGCGAAGCCTCTGCTCGGCCCCATCCCAGAGACTGTGAGCCTGCTCACAGGGATCATGCTGAATAAGGTGGCAGGAAAGGGAGAAGATGGTTTTGTAACAAAATAGCCTGTAGCACTGCATCCTCCTACCTATCAAAATCCACCCTGGGGTCTGCAGAGACCCAGAGGTGAGTTTCTTGAGACTGAGAGGTGTTGCTACATGTCAAAGATATACAGATGAACAGAGATGTAACCATAGATACACAACTGCTTTCTTTTCAACAGATACTATGTCAGGAGGCTGCAGCCTCTGCTGTTGGGGCTAGAGGCTCATCTCCCTGCCTGAAAGGTATGTGTGTATATATGGGAGAACAGGACAGCTAAAGCTCTGGCTGGTCCTTCCTGTAACAAAGAAAGTAGAGTGACCAGTCTATGAGGGAATACGGGACAATTGTCCACACTGATGCAGGACAGGTTTTAGGGCTAAGCAGAAGGAAAACAAACCTAGATTTTGAGATGAGTGATGTGGTTGTTGTTCTTATGGGAGTGGAGGGAGGGACTGTAGGAAACGGAAAAATATATTAGTGCCAAGGCAGAGGATGGTTCTTAAAATATTCTTGATACCCTACAAGAATTTGTGAGCTTGCCCCTAAGGCAATGGTTCTCAAACTTTAGTGTCCATGAAAATCACGTGGGGTGCCTGTTAGAGGCTGTGCCCAGAGTTCATGGTTCAACAGGTCTGGGTGGGCTCTGAATGTGCCTCTCTAACAAGTTCCCAGATGGTGCTGTTGGCCTTGGACCATTCTAAGAACCACTGCCCTGCGGGAAAGCTGATGAAACTAGTGCTCTAGCCCTTTCTCACAGCTAAAACGTCACTCCCAGCAGCTAATGCTGATGAGGTATCGCTGTGCTACCAGCCCCCTATTAGTGAAATAAAATACTCCCAGCAGCTACAATATAAACCTCCATCTACAAAGGACATAGGCTGCCTTAACCTGCCCTATTCTCCCCAGCCTTTTCTCTTCTGGGGCAGAAATGTTTCCCAAAGAGAGAACAGACGGGTAGAGGATGGGAATGGTGGCCAGCAGCCAGCCATGCTCACTCCTGCTGGGCCACTCCTCTGAGGTGGGTGGGTGGGGAGTATATCTGTGTGCACATGCATGTCCACACACAGAAACAGAGAGAAATCAGTTCTGTACTATGAGGGGGATGATAGGGTTGTGGGAGGCTCAAGTCGGATGACGGGTCCCCCTCACCTGTCCTGTTCTTTCTTCCACGCCTGTCAAACAAAAGTCTAAAGAAAGCAGAAAGAGCATATCAACAAAGGCATATGTGGTATCGACAGGAAGGACTGGATTCTAAACAGTGGTTATTATGAAATTTTAAAAGAAGAATACATTTGCTTCCCATGCATACAATGTACAATATTAATGAAAAATAATGATTTGGGGATGGGAATGATGTTATGAAGGAAAGAGGGAATTTTGCGGGGAAAGGTGTCTCAGGGCTAGCACCTTTCAAGGAGCCACTCAGTGTGAAGCGACGGAGCCTCAGAAACCAGAAGAGGAATATTTTGTTATCTGCTTGGTGGCTCAGGCTGTTAGCAGGGCATGGTTATAGTTAAGCACCCTGTCTACAAGTATGGGCGGTGCTGGAGCGCAGTCAATCAGGGAAGGAGCCAAGACCATCAGGACAGGCACAGAGAAATCCACAAGGTGGAGGATCATTTGGGCCATCTCCTCTTTTGCCACCACCAAGAGTATACGGTCTAGAGCATAGCGAAAAGGGGAGGACTAGAGGGTGAAGTAAGCCAGATTCGGGATGTACAACCAACAGGAAAAAAGTAAAGGAGGTCCTGCTCTCTCCAGTCCTACTTAGCAGTGTGGGAGGCTTTCTGCAACTTTTCAACTCAAAGCA